TCAGGCCTTTTAATAATTAAAAGGCATTTGATTTTTTTGGTCCAAATGAAGAGATAAGCAGCTTTCTGTGTACTAAAAACTCAGGCTGGTTTTATAAAGGGCATTAGTGCAATCATCTTCCAGCTTTTAATAATGTGTTTAATACTTCTGTAAGCTAACAGGAGTATCAATGTGCACATAGCCTTAGAGGAATCATCTAATATTTTTCCTGAAGACATTTAAATTTCTTTAAATGTGACTGTTGAACTGTTACGAGCCAAGATCATGTGTTAGGAGCCAAGAKGCTTAATCTTTGTTGTGAGTACGTGAATATACTGGTACACTAAACAGCAACAGCTAAATATTTTAATGCCATAGACAGGTTGTGAATACATTCCAGAAGTCAAACACAGATCCCGTTGTGGTGTATGAACAGTTGGATCAAAGAAGTGGGTAGATATAAAAGGGTACCTTGCCTTTTTAATGTAGCATATTTTCCAAAGCCCTTGTGCTTCACTGACAGGTTTTTAACTGTTGGGCTGCTGTGCAGAACTATGTAGGTAGAATTGAAAAAAAAAAAGTTTTCATATCAAGAATTAAGTGTTTCAGGTTAATTCTGCACTGCTATAGGAGGCTAGTTGGGAAGCAATAGTAATACTAAAATAGTAGTTAAATATAAGTCCTTGTAAGTTAATATAAGTTAAATGTAAGCTTATATAAATATAAAAGAGTAATCACTAAACTTCAAGCCTGCAACCCAACCAGGCCTACTGAGGTCACCTCCGATATTCTACAGAAACAAGATCTTAGAGTACAACATGTTTCACAAGGAAACAACGTTGCTGAGTGGCTCTGTTTAATATTAACCCAGGCTCGTTAGGTATTTCCCTCCTCCTCTCTGCAGGGAGACGCTCGGCAGGTGCCTCTGAGAAGCACTGGGGTGAGCAGGAGAACTGAGGCTGGGTGATGCTCAATGCTCTCTGCCCCCTGGGTTCACCATTATTTAATAGTTCTGTTAAATGTGTCCTGCAGCCCCTGTGCTGACCCTGCATGGTCTCCCTGCAGCCAAGCCGGGAGTGGGACAGTGCAACCCCGAGCTGYGGAGGGACAGCGGGTACCAAGGAGCCCCTGCGCACAAAGGGTGGTTGCATCAGGCTCCGTCTCGCTGGAAAAGCTGGCTAAAAATATCCTGGGGAGATGTGCCACAGGCCGCACGCTGCCGGTGCCAGGTCTGTTGCAACGCGCTGGGACTCCGGCCATGCGCCGAATACCTGGGAACCAGGATGGGACCGCGYAGCTGTGGGCTGCTCTTCGCCCACCGACCCCTCGGCAGCCGCCAGCCTCCCTCACACCCCATGGGATCCTCCTGATGGCCAGTCTGGGCCAGGAGGGCGGTTTGGGGATGTCTGGGAGGGCTGAAGAGGCAGTGGGGAGGATCGAGGAGGGCTCGGTTTCTTTATCCCTCCTAAGAAGGCTTGTGCTATAAGACGATACCTCACTCCAGAGCCGTCTGGTCAAGTGGAAATCAACACTAGCTAAGTAAACTCTGATCATCCTGCTTAGAGACTGGAATTAAAAAGCTTTGCCAATCAGTCTTGATTAATAGGCGAAGGACAGAGCATTAGGATCAGTCACGCGGCGCTAGAAGGCAAGGCCTTTCCCTGAACTTTTATTTTTTCTTCTTTTCACATTCACACACATCCCCTGCCTCCATGAATTTTGCTAGGAACAGACCCGAAGCAGCAACCACAGAATATTTACACATCACTTTTGCCAGTGAGAAATATTAATCTACATATTAGCGTCCATCAAGGAGCTGAGCTCTATGCTGGAGAAAGCTGTCGCTCCGCTGCGATCAATAAAACTGTGAATGTTTTGCTCAGTGCCTTGAATATGTACGAGCCCTTGGCATGAGATCTTCAAATTTTGATGTATTGGTAGTGTTTTGACTGCATTCATCAGAGAGACGAGGATCAGATTGCACAGAAAAGTGATAATGACAGAACAAAGAAAGCACCGGAGAAGTGAAGCAAACCCTTTAGGGGGATGAAGGCAGCCGCACAGGCAAGATGGAGCCTCCTCATGCAAAGGCTCTCGCCATGGCCACACGGGCGCTCCGGAGGATTCCYGTGTGGTGCCTGCCTGTCAGGGCCCACACGAGGTCGTTGTGGGCGCCATGTTCCAAAGCGCCCTGTCTTGGCCCCGCGCTGCCCCCTTGTCGCTTTGGTGGCCCACCAGGAGCCCGCAGCAAGGCCACCTTCACCATTTGTGACAGACGGGTCCCCAAAGCACAGCACAGGCCCCTTGCATGGCGAGGGCCCTGCTTGGAAACCTGCTCCTCAAAATCAGTCAGGAAAGCCCAACAGATGATGTTGTTGGAGTTTGCTGGAAACAGCAAACAGGATTTTTGGAAGGACATACTTACCTAAGGAGCCTAAACCTCCCTATCCATCCCTGACCAGCACCCAGTGGTACTGCAGTACCCATTCCTGGGTCAGACTGCAGCCTGGAAAGACCAGGASGCTGCAGAGGCCCTGACAGGGACACAGTGCGAGTGTCCACCCGATCCGCAGGGCAGGGTGCCCCCATCCTCAGCGCGCACGGAAGCCATGGAGGCACCTGATCCGTGTTGCCCCAACACCTCCCGCCTCAGCYTCCCACCTGGATTGCGAAAGGAGCCCCAGGAGGAGGCCGTGGCCGCCGTCTCCTCGGGGCGGCCAAGGAGAGCCCTGCTCCGGGCCGGCGGTGGGCGCATTCCTGCGGGGTCAGGAGAGCCGGCGCGGCCAGGGCCCCTCGCCGCAGCCCCACGGAGCTGTTTGCACAGCGCCTGCTGTTTGTCCCAAGGACATTTCTTAAATTGTTTCTAGCACTTTTAAGTGCTTGATGGTGGCTTGTCCAGCTCTCGCGCCAATTGCTGCGCGCGCAGCAGTGTTGATCAAACACCACATCCGCGCAAACAAGCGGCCGCGCAGGCGAGCGGGGCTGGCGGGTGATGCTGCCTCCCTTTCGGGGCTTTAAGTAGCAGGAAAACCTGCTCCGGTTTTCCAAGCTGCTCTTGGCAGCTCCAAGGGAACAGCATTAAACACAGGCTGCGTTTCCACTGCGACACCCAGGGGTACACACTGGCGGGCGCCAGTGAGAAAAACAGAGATTTTTTGATAATTGTTGCATGCAAAACTGCCATGAGGTTCTCCCAGAGCTCAGCTTGAGAGGGCTCAGCCCAGCAGGGCTCCACGGCACAAACGTGTGGATCATCCACTTTCTGTGCTTGCAGGGAGTTGGTGATGACTCCTCTGCCATCAAACAGCAAGCCTGACAACTGCCAGGCATCCAAGCTTATCTAATTACATGCTTTCCTTAAATGATACCCCAAAGAAACCTCATAAAGAGTCCAGTGATGCGAAGAGTTGTTTTCAAAACTATGGACTAATCAGTGGAACTTGATAAAAAAGACAGAGCTCATGGGATGGCTGGATGAGATCAGGTAGGAGTTCTGTACACTGGAGTCAATATCTAGTAYGAGCAAAGGGGGACTCGGTGTTTCATTCAGAAACGTTTGCTCTCCGTGGACACRTGTGGTAGCATAGGAAAAGGATGTGTCTTAAATGCAGCGGTGATTTAAGGACTACAGGATTAGCACTTTTTCTGCCTGGACCTGGCAGATGCAYATGAGCTTTGTTCTATTTACAAACTTTGAAGAGAGCCGGATGAGAGAAGTGGTATCTATCTGAATTGCTTGGGTTGTAGCATTGTATATATGAATATGTTCATATATGTGAATATATTTCATTATTAGGTTGCTTATTTTTATGTATGAACCGCCTACTGTTTTGAAAGCCTTTCTTCTATTTTCAAACCTTCCTACTTACTAATAAAAATCACCATAGGAATTAACAAGTAAGGAGGAAAAGAAAAAGGATGAGCTCTTATTTTAAATACTGAAAAGCAAAATGCCAGCTACCACATTGCTTTATGTCCCACTTTCATTATATTGCATCATTGTCACTTCTGTGCAAAATTTCCAGATTCTAAAATGAAAGCCAAAACTGCTTTGATTTGTTTGAGAATTATAAATCTCTTGAGCTGAAAAAAGCTGGTGCCTGGGGGAGCATTGGGAAATGTATTATGGCTCATTCGCTCAGTTCTTAATCTTCCCTGGGCACCTGCTAATGTCTGTGCATGTAGCCAGGCTACAGGGAGAGGCAGACATTGGGCCTGCCCCAGCGCTGCGGTGCCTTAGTGTGGGTGACATTTACGTGCAATTTCAAACTGTCCACCTCAGAGAAGGCCTCTGAGSTGGGGCAGGAGCAGCTGGCACCGAGCCTGTGGTTTGCACGGTGATTTTGCAACCACGTGCTGGGAGCAATGACGTGCTCTGCTGTGAGGGCTGCTCGAGACAAGGGCCGCTGTCGTGCGCTGGCCCGGCTGCTCCATGGGATCTGAGGAGTCCTAGCTGAGCGCAGGCCCAAGATTCAAAGGCATTTCTAGACAGACCGAGCTTTGCAAGGCGTATTTGGTCAGATGAATCATACCTGAGTGCCTGTCGCCCACACGGCTGGGTCGAAGCTTTGTGCTCTCACCAAGGTCATAAAAGCACCRTGAATGTAGCTTGGGACGTACCGATCTCAGGTTATGGCTCCAGGAGGGGTGGGAACATCTGACTGAGGGAAATTCTCAGTACTCAACAAAGAACCTAACAGGAAACTGAGAGACTTTGTCCATTTGTAATTTTGGAGTAAAGATAATAAATAAAGAAATGTCTTTTTGGAATTTTTTTCCCCCCTACATTACTGCATTACATGGCAGAAAAGCTTTTGACTATATATACACACAGTTTAGCCTGATACTGAACAGATCAAAAGGTTTCATGTAATAACTTTGATGGAATCAAATAGATACTTTGGCAACTACAGTCTGGAATAAAAGACATTAATGTCTGTATCATACTTACATTATTTATTATTATATTTCAGTAGTTCTTAAAGACCTCAACAGCAATCAGGACATATTGTACTAGACACTGTAAAGATGCAGAGAAACGGAGACCCAACCTTAAAATACCTTCCAATGTAAATACACGAGACAGACAAAATTAATTTACTTTTCATGATAACTCAGCGCTTGACTCATCCACAGCCCATGCACAGTTCAATGTAAATGTCTAGACTTTCATAAAAGGTGTCTGACTCCCATGGATTGGGACTGTTCTTTCTCCAATGACTTTCCAGTGAGCTGTTCTCCCTAACTTTCAGGAGGATAGCAGCAAGTATCACTTTTAAAGGCTTTTTGTTTTTATTTTAACATCTATTTCAAACTGCAGCAGTTTCAAACCAGCTACCGGGTATAATTACTTCCAGCTGATCTGTACTCAAGTTATTCCAGAGACTATGTGAAAGGTTATACATTCTCAGTACTCATCTCCTGAAAATACACAGCCTCACTAGCCCTACAAACATAAATAATGTCATCACATTCATTAGTATTAACTGCGTGAATAACATGAACAAGCGCAAGATTAAATTGCCAGACTTAATTCTGTCTCATTCGTGCTAGTAACAGTTTCAAATGACATCCTACATCTRAACTATGCTGATAGAATATATAATATACATTCTAACTAGAATGCTTATTGAATCAAAYTGTGTTGCCCAGTACATCTGTGCAGGTTGTACAAGCTTCAATATAAACTGCACAAATGATAATAAAATCTCTCAATAAAGCACTTATGATCATTAGATTTCTAAATGCTTTACCTGAGGAGTAAGCCCTATTCTTATCATTTTAGCAATAAAGAAACTAAGATGCACGTCTCAAAGAAAGGAATAGTGCTAGTCATCTCACAATCAAATGGAAAGAATTTTGGCCTCTCAAGTCCTGCTCTACAGAACAAAGTTTGATCCAGTTAATCAAAGACTATCCATAAAACAGAGAGATTTGTTCCAGTGGTAACCCCCATGATTCATCCCTGTATTTCCATCACTGCTGCTCAGCCCTGCAGTTGGAATACACTCTAATACATATACATTAATACATAGAGTTAGAACTGGTCCACTGTCAGAATGACACATTAGCAGAACAGCCTACAAATGTGTTTCTACCTGCTTGTGAACTGAAGGTCTTCGTGTGCAGATACGCAGTATTTTCTTTACAGAARCTAGGCATCATAGAGAAAGCTCCTCCTTGAAAGCTGTGCAGAATTCACCTACGTATATCTTCACTTATATTTGACTACTAAGGTCTGCTGGCAGACTGTAGAGGAAGAACCCCAAAACAAAAACAATCGACCTCCCTTCCCCAAAAAACAGGTATGTGAACAAGCAGCTATCAGCACCTATAGACCATGGTGACAGGCCTGTGGAGCAGCTGCACTGAGGCTCTGAGGRGATCTGCAGAACAGTGAGAGCAGTGCCACGAAAAGGGGGAGCTTCTAATGCTGCACACATTCACATTCAGGAGTTTTCTTCTAATTTTGCTTCAAAGTTTATTTTGAAAGTTTTGCTTTGTGATAATATGAGTCAATGAAGGCAGGCAGACTTGCAGCTTTCCATGCTTATAGAAATAATGGGAAAGCTTTCCACAAAATCTTTGGTGCTTTATTTTTTTGGTAGATTGGGTGCTATGTTGTTTTGGAACCACATAACACCCAAAATGACACCTGGTGTCTTTGGGATACTCTCATCAAAAGCAAACTTCATGGACTCTTCTAAAGGTATTTCCACAACTTCTATCAGCTCTCCTTCTTCAGGCTGGCCACCACCTTCTCCAGTTTTCATCTGGTCCGTTACTTCTGCATAAAATAAGGTGTGTCTAGAACCTGTCAGACCAACTCCAGACCTGGAAAAGAGCAGACAGGGKTTTTTTTTTACATAAATGAAGTTAGTGAGGAACTAGGAATGGAAACCTGAACCCTCAATTTGTGTCTGCTACACAGTGCCAAAATACATGTCATTATTGCCTGTTCATTTATAGGTTTAGAATATATAAATACTATTTTGTTAGTATAGAAACTGATAACAACTTTCATGCAGAAGAATATACATCTTTTGAATATAATTCCATTTGAAAATGATTCATGTTTGAATATATTCTTCAGCTCTGGAAAAAAAATGTTAGTTTGGAAAGAGAAAAATTAGTCCTTGAATTGGTGAACAATTTTGTGTGAAATCAACAGAAACTTTTTCATCATGATCCACAGAGATCTAAAATGACAAAATGATGCTCCACTGTGTATCTCTATCCTACATTCGCTTGCTTGTTTTTACACAAAYACTTTGATTTTTGATTCTTAAGAAGATTATGTTCATTCACAGCTGGAGTCCTCTAGTCATGGACTGGTACAAGAATAAAAAAGCAGCCTCAGAGTCTTTCTCTATCATTCCTGAACTTTAGCCTTGACCCACATGGACCATTCTAAGCACACATGTTTCTAGAGTAATTCAGTCTCCCAGCTAGATTTGTTATAGTGGATTTAGCTGAGGATATTTTAAATTATGTAGTCTTTCTTCAGCTAAACAGCTTGCTATGTATTGTACTTACTTGCTAATCCTCTATTTCCTTAGAACTATTTCATTTAGATATTTTAAATAAGGGATAAGTACATAATCCATTCGGTCCTTCTAAGAAAATATTCATATTGCAATAGCAACTTCTTCATTTCACATGATTAAAAGTGACCTTTCACACTGAATGAAACCCAATACAAAGTTCACTGAAGTGATGAATCAGGAAAGCTTAAAAATTAGTCTTTATATTATTATATATATATGGGATTCTAAGATTTGTAGTGTCACTATGATCTTAAGGTGTAAATCCATGCTTATGCTATCACTGGATAACTAAGTCTCTCAGCTAATGCAACATAAATCACACCCCATTCACACCCTATTCATCATTTGCCCCTCAATTATTTTTAAAGTATGGCAGACTGAAATTTTGTTTTGGAATCTAATACTGGTTATTGCAGCTGTTTTTCTACATTGATATACTCTTCCTTAAACACAGAATAGGAGTGAACTATTCCCTTCTGAAAAAGACTACTATGATTTTGGACAGGTCATTTAACTCTCCTGGATCATTCCTGTATCTGCCAGAAAAGAGCTAGAGAAACTCATGTACCTTTGCCTGGCACTTCTGAGAGCTGAAAATGAAGCCTCTGCCATTTCCTTTGTTCTGTGCTCATCACTACATTTCAATATCTGTGCTATCTTTTAATACACACTTTTACTCATAAAATGTCAGCTACTAGCATGCAGCAAGAGACTAGACTAATGGTTTTCCCTTTCTCTTCCACTCCCACCAAAGTATGTGACCTCCTTTCTCAATCAGATTTAGTATTTGCTTTTTGGGGAGACGCTCTACTGAGTATTTGTATCCTATTATGGTGACCACCAGAGAAAGTTTGTCACTAAAAGCACCCTTTGGAGCTGCAAGCATCCACAGACTCCATGTGTCACTAGCTCTAGATCAGATACCTTCTCAGGACTCCCCTGTCCCTGTAAGGCCATTTGTCAGCCCTGCTGCTGCTCATCTCACCATGCAGGTTTAATCATTCTAATCTCATTATAAAACTAAGGTAGAGTCATTTTTCATGAAGTTGCTATCAGCAACCCACTCTCAAAATCTGCAATGCCATTTCTCATGCTAWTGTGCTATCAGTGCTCTATCTGCTCTGAGGATGACGGCACACTTTACTACGTTCCCTTCATGTTTAAACGCAATATGTTTTCTTGGTGTACTCAAGCAATAATGTATAACATTAAAAAACAAACAAAAAAATCCACTGGATACAAAATACTGATTAAAAGCAAACAGATCTATTCCACAGACTATCATGGCTGGCSATTTAAGCTGYAGTCTTTCAGCAAACAATCTCCTCCCAACATATTCACCTTGCTTTCTACCACTGACCACTTACCCATCTACACATTCCTTGCTATCCTAGCTCTSTCCCCTGGAAAAGAGCCTTACYGAGAGAAACCCTTCATGATGGAATAGTACGTTGTTCATTTTCTGTTCCCTCTTTTCCTTCTTCTTTTCTTGTTTGAGCAGGCAGAAACAGATCTATTTTGCCTTATCAGCTAGAGATCCAGATCTGGTTTTCTTTATCTATAGTAATATGTATTCTTTGAGCTTCCAAATTTGTATTAAGCATGACCAAAGGGTATGGCTACTAATTTTCATGTTCTTCTAGTTTACTCTTCCCCCTCCAAAGCAGTACATCAACATTTCTAAGATTACTTATAATCCCCTGCTATTTAGATGGCTAACTTTGGAGACTATTGCATTACATTATTTATGTATATATTGACTATTCTTACTCSTTCACTACATGTTTATTTCAACAGGTTTAGGAAGTTTGAAAGAGAGAGGAAGGTACATTACTTCAGGAAATGGATCTATTTCTTAAATATATTTTTATGTGATAATTCTTTGCCTAAATGCTTTGGCTTATTTTGTCACTTCATCATTTTCACATGAACCCACGATGAATGTCCTTTACTAAATTAAACATTGTCCAATATGGTCATACTTCTGTCTTTCACAACATTCTAGGCTTAGATAATCTTATCCTTTGCATGTCCTTAGAAAACCATCAAAAAAAGAGCACTATYGGCATTCTATTGTACCTTTGAATTTTACAGAAATCCAAGTTAGAAGGTTTGTTGCTTTGAAGCAGTTTTGAGTCTCCATCTGGTTGAAATAAAGTGTTTTACCACACACCCTTTAAAAATATGCATACATTTTAGGGATTTGATTTTGGATATTGGGACAGGAGGAAGAAGAGAGGGCAAAGAGGGTTGGTTTGGTGAAGAAGTGACAGCCTGCCTTTATGTTTTCAGGCTTATCTGTCATTAACAACCTCCTATCTTCATGCACAATTATTAGCACTTTCTGTGTATGATGTTTGAAGAATTTCAATGTGCCTTTATTAATGCTCCTAGCCTTCTTTTTGCTACCTTCTTCCTCCATATGCAGCCTGTGAAATGTACGTTCCTGTCCCAAGTATTTTACAGTACAAAGAAAGTGCTTTTGCCACGGTCTCCAATGAGTCACCTATTAACAGATTACAGCGATATTCATTAGCTTTGCATCTGGGGAAATCACAGGGGTCAGCACACCCGTAGGGAAGCGATGAGGTTCAGCCTGGGAAAACCACCTTGCTGACAAAGGTGTCTCCCCTTGCTCGTACCCGGGACACTTGGATTGGGTGAGGGCCAGCAAGATCTGAACGTGCAGCCCCGGCTCGCGCTGACATCTAGGGTTTCAGGGCTCACTCCAAAGGTTTAGCACCATGTTGCCTCAACCAGGCACGTCATGGCTCATACTGAGCCAGACCTGCTAAGCCTGGCTTGACCTAGCTGGCTGTTCTAGATGCATTTGGATGGGTCTGCACAGTGTTTGATTCTTATTCACCACTGTGGGACAAATGCAAATGATGTATAGAAAGCACAGCTCTGATTTCCTTCATCTCTATCATGAGGATCAGTTCCTTCTGAGGAGTTTATAGTTGCTTCAAGTGACAGCTACATGGCTGACAAATACTCTGTCTCAAAATCTTTAAGACATAAGCTCACAAACCCTGTAGCTTCAACAGAAAGAGACTTTTAAGACCTCAAATCTATTAGTAATAAACTTATAGCTTTTTTTGRGAGACAATTATCACCCTCTATTACTTTTGACAACAAGTCTATGAATGAAAACATGCAAAAATAAGGATATGAATGTGCTATGGTTCTTATTACAATTGTAACTTCAACGTAAATTTAACACATTTGAACAAAAATGTATGCTGCAATCCCACACTGCATGTCAAATAAAGCACTCAAATACTGGGAGGAAATCATGGTATGGCTTTCAAAGCTGTGGGCGTCAGGTAACAGCAGAGCAGAGATGCAGGCTCTGCAGATTTAGTGCAAAGTGCTGCTCTTCCCCTCACACCCAGGGGTGGGAACAGGCTGACGGGGTAAGGTTATACCTATATTTTCTATCTACTTCCCTCTTAGATTAGGGAAAACAGAAGGGAGAGACTGTGACTCCAACCTGCTTTTGAAGCACTGCAGTAGTTGTTATCACAAAGGCCTGGTTGTTTTTATTAAATGTATGAGGAATTATGCCGYGCATGCACTAGGGATGACAAAGTGGGACTTTTTGCTATTTGATGTCTAAGCCAATAGCAATAAAGCTACATTGCATAAGTATTTTTGATTACAAGTGGGTAACAGGATCTTATTGCTTTAAAAAATTAAATGTTTAGTAGTGCCGAAAGCCACAACTGAGTCCACCTTCTGTGACTGCCTATGCTCAGCAAAAGCAAGTTTCTGCTTTGAAAAATGTGCAAGTGTGTATGTGGTGTGTGTCTATGTGCACATGTACCCATCTGTAAGCAGGGTCAGTATTCAAAGCATGGGCTCGGGATTGGTTTTCCCCTCTGCTCATGCCTACGTTCTCATCTATGCATTATAATATGACACAGTTAGTGTGAAATTCCTAAATTAAATATATTTCTAAAATATAAATCACTGGATGCCAACTTTGGGAACATCACAACTTTGTACAACAGGCTTACAAATACATGCAACAGAGATCTCTGCTATTCGTGCTGAAGTCAAGATGTATTTAGGCATGCAGCACGTAGACTGATGAACAATGACATGCAGCTTCTTTTGTCACTTCTTAGAACCATTGTTCAGTTCTGACACTACAAGCAGCAGGTGCAGGGGGGAAAAAAAGCACAGAAGTAATTAACATAAAATTATATTACATTATGCCATCATCCAACAGGTGTACTAGCAGGTGATCTTTCTAATTATAATGCACGCCAACATTTTCAAGAGCATTATTCTTTCTACATAATAACCTATGAATACAAACTATTTTTACCTCATTGAACGGTGGCTAATAGCCATAGCACMGTAATTGGAACATCCAATATTAACTCTGTGAATACTCCTCTTTGTTGTATACCTTTGGAAAAGTCTCATATGTATGAAGATTAAAGTACCTATGTTAATAATTAGGCCCTTAAATTAATCCATCTGATTTTTGTTTTTAGAGCCAGGCTGGGAACCTGCAGGTTCAACTGCATCTGATTTGTACCCATCTGTTTAATACAACCTCTGACAGAAAAAAAAAAAGATGGATGGAGGCGGGTGGAACCACAAACTAGGCCACCTTTATCCTGATACTGGGATGTATTGCTGAAGTCCAAATCATTTTATAAACATTCAAGAAGACCAAGCATTTCAAGAACTAACAGCAAATGCTGTAAGTTGCAATAATACTTAAATAGTAACCTCAACATATCTTCAGGTCCCTCTGTTGAAAAGAAACAAGTCTCGAGGAAGATACCTGGATGTACTAAGAAACTAAGAATTAAGTACTAAGAAGCTCACAGCTGAGTATGACACAGGATTCAAACAAACTGCTAGGATAGTGAGATAGAAAAAGAATATTTATATCACATTTATCAGTAAGTCTAAAAACTTGTTCACTTAGAAGATTTCATATTTAGAAGATTTCACCTTTAGAAACATAAATCTGGAAGAATTTCTCAGATTTTTTTTAGGGCCATTAAAACCCAAAAGTTTAATCAATAATCATTTTCATAAACGCTCAGCTTATTATTTCTGTACTGATACTGTAGGATCATGTTCATTTTATTATTGATCTACGTGGTTCCTTTAGATAAATCTCACCTATGGTCACAACCATCTATGTCATTTTTGAATGAAGTCATACACAGAGCTAACTAGAACTCAACACAACAGTGGGGACAAAACTTTCATAGTGGAAAATGAAACTTCCAAAATTACATCAGCTGCTGACAAAAAGAGAAGAGGGAAACGGTTACTTACTCATGCACTGCACACCTAAGTAGCAATCTGTGCAGGTGAGCTAAGAAAGGGAAACTCAGCACCCAGGGTGTAAACAAAACCTGTTTTTWTTCCAAAATGTTTTACTGCCTTCATTTACACGGTAAAACAAACCATTCCCATCTAAATCCAGCTTCTAGGTAGCAGTACTCTGCCATAAGCACAGATATTTATGATTCGATCCCTGATTCCTTGGATCTCATGTCAAGCCTCTCATAAAATGTTTGTTGTCGTTCTGATCTCTCCCTRGTCCCAGTCTCCCTCACTCAGCTACTCCACACTGTCCACTTGTTTCTGGAATAAMTTGTTGCAGAACTTTTGCCCAGCTCCTGTCAATTCCCCAACGCCCGCCTTCTGATTCTTCCTAAACTTCCTTTAGCTCTGTGTATCACTCGGGGTAAAACTGGGATCTGCGTGACTCCGTGTCCAGCCTCTGCCCGATCAGCATCATGTTAGCAGAGCTTCCATCGAGCTTAAGCAGTACCACAGCAGCAGTACCGCAACGGCCCATCTTGGATCAACTGGGAACTGCTACAACCCCCAGCACCACCCAAACTCAGAATCCACCATTGCAAGTCCAGTTATTATCTGGGAAATATGCTCCCTTCACATTTTCTCCAGGCTTTATTGGTACCTACTGCTTGTCAGCAGAGTGAAATTAAGCTTACAGATCATCTAAGGACTTTCCCCATTCCAGAGTGTCAACTTGGCTGGGGCATTTGAGTGCTCCACTGTTGCCTTCAGCATTACTATTTTTTCAGCATTTCTTTATACTATCCGTGGACCTGCATCAGATGATATATCCGAATTGATATCCGAATTCTGTCTGACCAAAATGATAAACYAAGAACCTCTAAATAATACAGCACCTTGCTTCAACGAGTGCGAGATTCCTTAAAGGGTACATGCACTTCTCCACATGGATGAACTTATATTCTCTGAGCCCATTGATTTCATTGCATATTTTTTCTCTACAGAATTGTTCCATTTCTTCTTCCTATTTCTATTTGAAGATCTTCTGTTTTTCCCCTTGTCTGTACTCTCCCTACACATGGTTTGTTCCCTCTCTCCCCCAATCCATTAGCTATAGAACTGTATTTACCTTCATAGCTGAGACCAGTGCTCCCTGGATTTCACGTATCTTTTCATATCTTTCCATCAGATCTAAGCTCAATTCCTGCTTTTGCTCAATGCAGCAATTTCCTTCTCATTAGCACAGTTCCAGAAAAGACATTACTAGGAATACAAGCGAGCTCCCTGCTTTCTGACTGCAAGACTGTGTGTTGACACAAAAAACCTTGCTTGTATGGAAGTCTTCTTGATGTGCATGCAATTCTGAGKTTTTATCTACAAAGATGAAATAGTCTTAACTCAATAATTATGAATTATATAAACATCTTTCACATGCCCTTATATTCATCAAGAAAGGAAAAATGGCTAATTGTCAAGAACATAAAATATGCAGGGAAACTAATTTCAGGTATAATAGGATAAGAGGTCTTGTGGATAGGGGACACCAGGCAAATAACATCATCTGAATTTATTAAGGATTTGGACTCTATCAATGTTTTATTAAGACATTAGGAAAACATGATATAGTTAGAAACGAAACCTTGAAACAGGTGCAAAACTAGTATGACACCAGTAACCATGGAATGGTAACAAGATCAAATTGGAAATACACATCAAATAGGATTCCACTGACAACCATCCTGGATTCAATATGATTCAGTATTTTGTTTTAGGACTTGCATATTGAGAGGCTACTGAATATTTATACATATATAAAAGCCTGTGTTTCTGCACGCACACAAACRTGTATTTTTATCCTATGGCCTATCAATGTCACAATGCATAAAATGCCATGGACAGCTTCTGTTCATATGCCTAAAAAGCACTTTTTCTATCAGTAGAACAAACCCTTAATCTAGTTTCAAGGAGTTGGAAGAGGCAGCTCCTGCAGTTCACCCCCCACACTCCCCGAAGCATTGCTTGCTAATCCAGCAGGAAATAACATTTGCCAGGATTGACAGCTGTGGATTTGTATTCAATTCCCAAATTAAAAACCAATGGCAGGGCCTAGTTCAACAGGGATGTCAAGCAAGACAAAGAAAGTAAAAAACCTGCAGCTTTCTCTGTAAAATTAATACATATGTTTGGAATAACAATACTATGGGGTGGGAAGGCGCTATAATGGGATTATAGCTGTGTGCAAAATTTCTCTTGATTTTTTTAATGATTGACATCTTGTATTTTTCCTCTTTCATGGTAGGTTTTCCCTTTACTACTAATGTATGCTTTGATACATTTTAATATCTGTTCTAATAGATTTTAAGGCCCTGCAATAAATGACATAAAGAACCTTCACACTCAAACCACAAATCCCTTATATTCATTACTGTCCAGTTCACAAAATTAAATTGCTTATACTTTATGACCCTAATACTACAAAGAGATCTAATTGTGCAAACTGTCATGCTGCTGTAGAGTTCTATTAATGTAAAAAAACACAGTCCATCTTCAGAGGTTCTCTTGTTAATCACAATAATAATAATAATAATCATAGATTAAAAAAGCCTGATACAGTTCTGACAAAATATTTTCTAACATCATAACAAATTCCCCTGTTAAGAGCCCTGTGGAACAAATCACAATACACTAATTCTTATTTGGAAATCATCCCATAATTGTAAGTTGAGATACAGTTTGTTACCTCTTGGTAAATACTCCTCTCTTTCTGAAGATTATAGCTTTTACATACTTCCATATGTTCCTTTGTTTCACCAAAACCTGACTTAAATGAGGAACACTAATTTACTGTCAAGCCACTTCAGAAATCTGCCTCTGAAACAATAAAGGTAGGAGTGTTAATTTAGTGCTATTTACCTGTAAGAGGTGATCTTCCTTAGGTCTGCAGCCGGAACATTGTAGCCACACTCCTCCGAGATTTCCTCACATGCTGTTTCTTCTATGGAAAGGCCTGGTTTGTCCACAATGCCAGCACAGAGCTCATATGTCACTCCAGCCACAGCAGGTAAAGGATCCTCTAGATGTCCCAGATTCTCCCTGTCCTGATTCTGGAAGACTCGAGGACAGTGCCTTTCTACTTCACACATGTAAACAGCTGAAAAATACAAAAGAAAAAGAAACTTTTTTTTTTTTTTAAAGTAATATAAATTGGCACTCATATTAAATGGGAAAAAAAAAGCACTAATTTTGCCTGGGAATTAAAAAACATCATGGCACCTGAGAGCAGCAGGGAAAACAGGTCAGTTGCCTATTAAAATTATGACACACTGCTATTGCAACCTTATACATAAGAGGTTATATCTGCAGAATTATCCTCAAACATTCTTTCTGTTTACATCATTTGGGATTAGTTCCTGCAAAAAGAAAAAAAAAAAAAAAAAAAAAAAAGGAAGTTAGTTCATCCCATAAGTCTACGTCCCAGAAGCTCCAAGCAGCTTCCATTTGCTGGGCAGTACGGATACCAGGATTTAATCTAGCTATGCAGTTATTTTACAGGAAACTTGGGTTGTACATTATGTACCATGTGCACAATGATGAGTCTTTCAGCCTGTCAACTCAGCTGTTATTTAGAAAGGATATAAAAAGCATGTATGTTTGTTCAAAAAAAAAAAAAAAAAAGAAAATCCTGTTTTGAACATATAGTTCCTTGCACAGATTCCTGTGTGGAATTTGAAAAAGACATTTTGAATTAATCTACAAACAGCTGCGACAGTAATGCACTCCCACAGAAAGTGCAATTGCATATTTTAGCCCATATTTAAACAAAACTTTGTGCTGATCTCAGTGGAGGCTTTGCCCAAGTAAGAACTGCAGGATTGCATTTAACTACACAATGAATCACTGTTGACAATTCTAGATCACTACAGYTTTCATTTACAGGTATAATTCCCTATGTTTCCTCTTAGAAATTGTCTCATGGCTATCCTTGCTTTAAAGGAAACATTACTGTATTTACTGGAGAGTAAAAACACCAAGAATAAAAGCTTTATTAAAATTTGAGAYTATTTTTGAGATTTTAAATATTTTGAGATTATTAAAATATTTCATGTTTATATTTTATATAACACAGTTACCAAATTTGCTTATTTTTTATTTCCCATTCCAAATCTTATAGAAGTGGTATTTAAAAGAGCTTGTATTTAAAGAACTCTTTTCTTCTTCAAGTTACTGGATTTAGTTCATTAATTCTGAAAATTGTTAAAGTTCTCCTGAAAGTGTTGCAGCATAAAGGTACAGTGACGTATTTTCAAGCCCATGACCTCTAAAGAATTTGGTGCCCAGGTTCCTGCTTCAATGCTTGTTGAGACGTAGAAAGTGCAGGGTAAGGAGATCAGCACACTGAGAAGGGAGCTACTTAAATCTGGCTAAAACAAACAAACAAACAACCCCAAAAAACCCACAATGTGACCAGGAACTTGTCCAGAACTTAAGACTTTTAAGGATGTTGTCAGGATGTACACTTGGACCCTTTAGATACAAATGTTTAAGGAAAGGAGCCTCTACTTATTTGAAGAATGAGTAATGAGTAGGGCTTTTATATATACATATATATGTATATATATAAAAAAAATAAATAGGTGGCAACTTTATTGCACACAAAGTCTGAGCGACAGATCCTTGGAGGGCGTACATTTTCCAATTTGCAAATAAAAAAGGAGTAACACAGGCATCCCGGTAAAGGACTCAGCATCAAAAGAGGGTGTAGGTAGATGGAAGGTACTGAAGCATGAAACCACGATTAAACTAACTCTCTGTTCAGAGCCTGTTGACTCCCTGAAACATCCTGTCATTCCAGCTGGCACCTTCCATTCTCTTTGTCTCTCAGCACAGCTGGGCTCCACGTAGATCAAATCCTCCATTCCCAGAAGGATTCAACACAGTAGACCCCTTCAGAGCACACCGTGGCCTACAGTAACACTCAAAGTGGACACCCAGCTTCTCAAGAAAAGAAAAGGTACTGGGCATTTTTGCATGAGTCCAACATCAAGGAATCAGAGCATACACTCACTGGCTCTCACGGGGTGAGGAAAGTTCAAATTCATAGTGTTAATGAATTAGGGAAGTTGAAAAATTTCTTGACAGCGAGGGTGACAGCGCATTGAACAGGTTGCCAAGAGAGGTTGTGGAGTCTGCTTCTCTGGAGATGTACCAAATCCGCTTGGACACAGCCTGTGCCATGTGCTCTAGGTGACCCTGCATGTGCAGGGGGGTTGGACTAGCTGATCTCTAGAAGTCCCTTCCAACCTTAAGAATTATATGATTCTATGCAAAGAGGGTTCCCAGCACCTCTCCTGAAGCTGCATAACTGTATGCATGCGCCAGATGAGATGCAGTATAACTATATATATATATATGTGTGTGTGTAAATATATACAGATAAAGAATATGTCTGTGTAAATTGGCTAAGCCATCAACTCTCCCTTCTCCTCTCTTCTCCCACGACTATTTCTGTTCTCATCTTATTGCAAATGCATAAGCAGTTTTGAGAGCAGACATTAGAGGCAAGACCTCACGTCCCAGCAGAGTAATCCACCTCTAATCATGTGTCTGATTGCTCTCTTGTCTTCCCATGGCTTACACTGCTTTGGTTAAGAACAGCCACTCCATCACAAGGCCATTTCATTCACATGTGCACCAGTGACGAGCAGCAGTGTGGTGAGGGCTCAGACAACCGTGTAGGGCCTATTAACAATCTTGATTAATTAYCCAGGAGCCACTCAGTTGCAGGGAATCTTAGAGCAGAGACTCCAGTAGAAGTGATGCAATGAAATATCCTTCTGCACAGGAGGATAAAGGTAAGAAGAATTAGTCAAATCGGATGATAACTGTTATTCAAAGCAGCCTTTTCAGGTGACTCAGAGAGATTTGTTTGCCCTTCCAAAAGACAAAGGGACAACAGTATGGATTTGAAAAGGGTAACTGGGACCTAACTGAGGGGAAACAACTAGTTTCTGTTTAAACTTTTGGTTTCTCTTTGATTGCATCAATGTTTAGTACCTCCTGAAACAAAACATGGCTTATGACTCAAATCTTTCTTGCTGTTTATTTTGAGTCATTGAAAAAAACAAATACCACAATTATATTTGAAAATGTGTGGTCAATTGACTACCAAAATGAGCATAGCCAAGGACCTTGGCCCATGAGTCATGTATGAGGATCTGATATGGAAACTACTGAAATATATACATAATTTTTCATTCTCTGTTCTTGCCAAATGTAAGATTTCATTACCATTCAAGACGACTTAAGTCCACAGTGCCACCAAAAAGTCCTATCCTCTGTCTTCTGGAGTCCACTCCAGATGTGCTTCTGCCATCTGTTCAAGGCAATATGGACTTTCTGTGACCACTCACATCAGCCAGCTAACCTGCACAAAAAAACTCACCTGTTTCAGCCATAGCAGACCTCTGCTATGGCTGCGTAAGGGCTTGCACTGTTGAAGTGTGGGAGGTGGGAATGTACATACAAAGAGGGATTGCTGCCTTCAGAAGCAGCACAGACTTAACTGGTCAAAAACCAGCCACAAAACCACACCCTAAAGAAAGGCAAGCACATAAGTCAACAACCATGTGTGCTGGGGATGTGCCCGTGATTGTGCTACAGCTGTTTGCTCCCAAGTAAAGAGCTGTGTTCCAGTCTTGGTGGGGTCCTGATGGCTGCAGTAATGAAAAAAAGAATTTGGCTTTAATTTTTGCTCTGTGGAAACACCAGGCAGGCAAGGCAGAGAAGAACCAGATAATGGAAACACAATTATAGCAGTATGAGCAATGAATGGGCATGATTGCGATCACTGAGCTGCTGTGGGATGTCTGACTGACCACAAGTCCTTAATACCAGCTCTCTGAACAGATCCAACCTCTGATTACAAAAACAGAAATTACAATAACAAAAATAATTTGAGGCAGAGTCCTCTTGCAGGTTTGGTACTTACATGGAGATGATATAATGGACATGCCTGGGTTGCAGTTAGACCTATAGCCCATGTTTTGCATCCTCCCACCGCCTCCCCACACTCTAAGCATATACCCTTAATAGAAAGRGTAATATTGCTTATTTTTAAAAGTTCTCTTTCATATGTTTGCCTTTAGTTTTCCTACATAAAGGCTCACATCATACACTGCTTTGGGTTCTCAGAACACTGGGGAGTATTTCACAGTCCATTATTCATYGATATATATACAAGTGTGTCTGAAAGCCTTTGCAACCTAACTGTGTAAGACTGCCTGAGAGGGGACAACAGATATACAACTTATTTTATTTAACTGGCAAATGGCAGTARATTATCAATGAATAGATAAACAAACTCTTTCTCTCTAAACATAGTGCTGCATTGGAAGCATGAACTATCCACATAACAGCGCTGCACAACACTGACTTACCTGCCAAATACTATTGGTAGGGACAGGATGAAACGACCCTAGAAAGTTTCCAGTAAAGTCTACCATGAACAGTCTTGAAATGGTCTCTTAGCAACAGCCAGTGAAATATCTTGTGATTTTTTAATTAACATGCAGAGAATACATATTTCATTTTTAACCTTGAACTGTAAATAATACTGTGAATTAAAATAACTGATACAAAAAGTAAAAATAAAAAAGCCGTTAAATTCATAATATATGCCAAAACAAAACTCTCCATGGATTGATGAAAATGCGTAAATATTCCTGTGTTGTTCTTATTTAAATTCTCAAGCATATAATTYGCAATAATACATAAGCTACTATTCGTTGAGTTTTACAAAAAGAAGGACTGTTGTGATTGTGCTTAGGCACTAAGCTTCTTACTAKACAGGTCAAGATGAAACTTCGCACACAAGCATGCTCATTATAAACCTGTTGTAATTTCATCAAAAAGAGGGCAAGGACTAACCCTAAAACCAGAACATCAGGCTAYTCTGGTCATTTGTTTCATGTATAATGGAAATTCCCTTGGTTAGAAATTCTGACCTACTGAAAAGCATGGCCCATAATACAAAGAAACAGAATATGGAACAAAGATTTTGACACCACAGATGCACCAACTTTTAACTGCTAAAGCCTTAATAGCTTGCTTCACTAGAGAGCAAAAGTAAATCTAAAAAAAGAGGATTACCTGGGCGGAACTGCTTCACCACAACAAAGCACTGCCGAGAAGTGTTAAAGATCAGGATTGACACACTAAGGGAGAAGATAAAAACAAAGATCAATGCCTTATGAAGGATTAATGCAGCACTATTAAACTTACATCTTGTGAATTTTATTTTAACTACATAAATATACAGGATATTTATTACTAAACCGCAGAACAACAAGATACGTGTCCTAAATCCATCAAAAGTAATAGGTAATCGGTCATGCTGCCAAAGAGAGAATTCATCTAAAATTAGGTCACTTTTGTCTCCTTCCATGAAAAGAAAGTAACCTGACAATCAAATCCTCCACCCCAACAGAAAAGAATCCACACAAATTCTAGGKATATGGATAGTAACAAAAAGGAAAAGAAACTCTTTAAAAATAAATGTATTTTCTTCCCTCATCTTAATCTCAGGTTAGGATAATCAAACTCTTTGGCACAATCTAATCCAACCAGATCCTTCTCYGTGCATAAGCACGGAGCATCTCCTATTCATGGCCACTCACTGAGTTTGAGCCATAGAAACAGAGASCAGCCTAATCTAAACGTGTAAAAACTGACAGGCCAAGCATTCTAAGTATAAGATAAACAAAAACTGTTGAGTACTGATTTTCCTTACTTCCTCTTTCAAATAAATTACCCCTAGATTTTACTTGGTTCAAAAAAAAAGAAAAAAGGCAGAAAAAAYGTCTCCTTCCTAGCCTGGTTATCTTATAAAAAATACACACAAAAGCAAGTGTGTATTATGCTCATTACCACAGTAGCATCCTCTCATATGATATTCTTCCCTGTATGCAGTCACAAAGTTCATTTATTATTCCRTGAATTCTACAACAGATTAGGTAATAACAGCATATTTGCAGARTTTCCAATTCTCAACTTTCTTTCCAGAAGAGATGTATATTTATTTTCACTATTTCATTGAATTTTAAAGTTTCACAGGCTGCTAAAGAAACTTCTATTTGATTATTATTAAAAATAATGTTTATTGAAATGTATAAAGTCAAAAACAGAAAAGTCCAGATGCTAACATTTATATTCATGGGTGCTATTCTCAAAGACCCCTACTGCATATTGATAGCTTCCTGCCCAAGAGATGTCATTTGAAGTCTAGTTTAAAGCAAAGATTTTAGCCTTCTAAGATACTGCAAGTGGATATTCATTGTATTTACATATAGAGAAAGCCTTGTTCTGATGAGAATCTTCAAGTTATGGTGTGGGATGTGAGCTGAAGTTAAATGGGAACCTCAAGTGTTTTTTAGGTTACATAAGTATTTTCTTTGACCTTTTTTTTCTTTTTTTTTTAACCATTTCTCCCCAAAGGGGTAATGTCCAAAGGCAGGAAAAGCATTAAAATAAGGTGTTTTTTTTTCCTTGATTTTTTTTTTAAATATATTTTTTAATTGTTGCTTATAATAAAATAGCTGGAATCAGAAACAGTTCGAGCTAAAGTTCTAGAATTTCCTGAAGGATACACAGGCCTTTTACCATTCTCTACATCCACCACTCCAGACCCAGTCTTGTCTTTGGCTTGCCTTCTTCGGCATATCTCATTAAATAAYTCAAAGCAGCTCTCATTAAAAATGGCTCTGCTATTAGACATTATTTCTTCCTAAGAGTCAATCATTTCAGATTTTTATGGAACAGATGGGAAAATTAAAAACAATCTGTCAGAATTAAGGAACAAGATCAAATTAAGCTGGAAAGGAGTAGCAGCAAGTTATTACAATTGTCTGCTTCTCACACCATCTTGAGATGAGAGGGTACAGAAATGGCACAAATCTGTAGAACTTTCAGTTTAATTACTTTCAATTTGCTTAGTGACTGACAAACAATTTTCAGCATAAATTTACATTTTTAACAAATGACAATACACAAGTTCTAATACTTCTCATCAGAACTGGAGAGTTAGGGAAGAAATTTCAAATTTAAAACTTCTTTAGATGGGTGTTACACTAYAAATGCAATGTGGTACTCTTTATTCCATTAAAAAAAAGACAGCATGAAATAATGACATGGRTTTTGAGATTTATAGCTTACCAACCTTCCTAAAACTGCATTAATCAGAGGTATTTCAAAATCAGAGTAATTTAGGGAAAGACTGTTTAATTATATCTCAGTGGAGGATCCACTTAGCCTTTCAGTGAGGTTCCTCATTGCTGTAACAGCCCAAACATGCTGGTTCAGTTGTTTGGTCTGGCCTATAAGACAAGGGCAGGATACTGAAAGTCTTTGTCCTCTAGAGTTCTAAATCATAATGTAAAAGATTTTTTACAAAATTATTTCAAGATTACTATCTTCACTGACTATAGAGGCTGTTGAACACGACTAGCTACTATAAATGCAGAGGTGCAGATGCATCCTTCAAAGGTAAAATACCATTACTACATACATATTTCATGTTTCAAAGACATTTTTTAAAAATACTGCAGTGAATCGTACTGCAATGAATTATACGTGTACATACATTAAGTGATCAATAGGAAGTAAAAATATAAGATAAATAATTAAAACATTCATAGTGAATAKTGGAATCATCTGTGTAGTTATCATGCTAACTACACGGAATCACAAAAAGCAAGGACCAAACAAAGCAAAACAAAACAAGCAAACAAACAAACACTAGGCTTTCCTAGAATGATGTAAATCCCAGACAAGAATTTTATCTGATATTAACAGCARAAGTCCTAACTTAACAATATGATTCATGCACATGTCTCTCAGCAGTGTATCGGGCCAATATGGAGTTTTCTTTTATAGAAAAAAAAATTCTCAAGTGTAACAGAATGATGATGGATCCAAAATGTGTCTCTATACCTTAAAAAGCTGCCCAGCATGTCTGCACAMAYGCAAAACTATTCTGGTACAGACTTGCCAACAACATCATCATCATTCCAGGTAGCAGAGTGCTACTTTCACCATAATCCAAGAATGATTGTTTACCTGCTGTTCCTCCAGCATCCGTCAGAGATTGTCTTAGGGACCACACTAAAATAGACATATTAAGAGGCCATGCAGGTTCGTACATAGTTGTCCAGGGCCAGTGGAAACTGCTGGCCTRATCTGCCTTCGGCCTCCTCAGCTTCCTCCTGAAATTCTATACAGGTAATAATTCACCACTGTAGTTAGGGAGACTATATCCCAAGAAAAACAAGGATGCAAGCAGGTTTCTGTGCCTTAACACGGGATACTATTCTGTCCTTCTCTAAATTCATTAACAATTGCTGTAGCTTTGAATTACTTTAAGGAAGAATCAAGCCTAAAATGTCAGTAAGATATCTGCAAAGCCCAGTTAGAGTGTACTTGAACAGTGTGTACTCTACTGTGCACTCACACTGGCAGCTGCCTGCCTGCTCTTAGGATTTGCCACTCGCTTAAACAGACACCAAAAAGACTCTTTTCAAATGCCTTTTTTTTTTTTTTAAAGCACTATTCAATTGAGGTTCTCACATACTGATTAGCCTCTCAACTCAAAAAAAAAAAAAACAAACAAAATCCTGACAGAAATAGGCAGGTATTAGGCTTCTACAATGGTATTAAGGTTTCCATAAGATATGTAAGTTAAGGGGTGCAAATTACATACAGCAGACCCGCAGCCATCTAGAATATGGGAATCCAGATTCTTAATTCCTCTTCCACATTTAACACTCACATTAAAAGACAGGATACCCACCTGAATATATCCTTTATCCTCCAAAGCATCTCTTGCTGAAGTTTAGAAATTAACCAAATAAAGCGAGTTGACATCCTATTAAAATTTTCATATATGTATAAAGGGCAGAAAGATCATTCTTTTGAAGCATCTTCTAGCACCTCAGGAAGTTAAATCAGCTTTGCCAAAGCTATAAGAATGCGTACTTTGAAAGCTTCAATACTCCAAGGAGTTTTTTTTTGTTGTTCTTTTTTCTCCATCTTTTTTGTCTGCCTTTTTTTTTTCTCCTTTTTGGGTTGAAACAGAATTTCGCCTTGTATCCATTGGTTCAGTAATCTTCTATCTTRATGATTTGTCAGTTGTTGACCTCAGCTACAGTTAATCCACAAGCAATTGCTAACACTAACTAATTGCTTTTTGYGAGAGAGAAACAAACTTTTAAAGTCTTTTAATAAAGATTAACTCGGCCTTTCATTATTCTTAGTTACGACCTTAATGCACATTTTACAAATGTGTATTTGAAAAAAATAAAACATAGCACAGTAACAGCAAAGCAAAGGACAAGATTCTCTTGTGTTTCTGTGAATGAGTAAGACTCTCAGGGCTGGAGACGAGGCTTTTTAAAGATAATCTTGTACTAATACTGCAGTATGCTAAGTAATTGATAAGGTAATAAGGGCAAAGAAACTGCCCTCTCTTTAATCATTCTAAGAGCAACTTGCTGTCTCCTTGCATAGATGCCTGGCATATCACACACATGAATTCTGATCCCAAGGGAATATTAGAAGAGAAAGCACCTAAAAAGGCTGCCCTGGCATTAAAACCCAGGACTGTCCAGTTATTAATCCCAGCTACTTCAACCTACCCTTAAAGGCTAAGAATTATTTTGTAATTAGTTCAAAGTCTGTAATATTCTTTGTGCTGCCTGCAAATGACAATCTCACTTCTTTTGTGAAGGCTCTAGGAAGAGTTATTTGATTAAAAAAAATATTGGAGCACATAGTTATTCAGTTACCATTCTGAGAGGAGAGATGGAAATAGAATGGAAGATTCCAAAAAAGTAAATACAAAAATGGCATGCAGGAATAAAAGCAAGGAGCTGATGCAGGCAGTKCCCTTGATTCACAAATGGTATTTGCTATTAAAAATCCCCTAGATGCAATCAGAATAACCTAAAGCAGCATGCAACCACAGAAATATTAACAAAGGTATATYTATCTTGACTTGCAGATATAAAACACAGTGTTTTTGACTATATGGCTCATAAAGGAGCTAATGAATTAACCTAGTAGGAAAGTTAGTAAGACAAATGAACCATTTACCTGTCTTACAATTATATTAGCTTTAGAGTATACATTTGATTTTCTTCTTAAAGTTATGGAGTTTCAGCTT